TTTTTTCAATAAAAACTTTTTATACAGGGTATGTCATGTACCAGTGGTCAATACAAACTTTCTTACTTTAAATACAACACCCTGTATATTATTCAATTTTCGAATTATTCTTCAGAATTCTACACATATTTCATGTACAATGTCCTATACCTATCTTCAACTAGTTCGGAAATATAAGTGTTTTCAGGTTTGAAATTGACCCAGAGGTGCCATCTGTCAAAGTTTGTCATATAGAACATTATAAAATACCCTGTATATTTCAACTAAGCTTGGTCATTGATATAGAAATCCCCAATACAGTGCTTTTAAAAAATAGTAACAAATATTTTTTAACCATTGATTTAAAGACATAATTCAAATGTAACACTACGTTAGTTTTTAGGGTAGCAAAATACAACTGCTCTCTCAACGGTAAAAATAACAGTATTTTTATTGAAAACAAGTTAGTGAAAAAGAATAAATGTTGTCGGGACGAGCGTTCGCTGGAGAGCCTTCGTGGTGTGGAGTCGCTCGCCGGTATAAGTATCTGGCCTTTGGCGCCAATCTGCCGTGGACCTTTTCCTGGAACCCTGGTGCGTCCCGCTTTGTCCTTGCAACTATTAGGCCAGTCCTGGTGGCCTCAGGCTGGAGCTCTTGACGTAACACTTAAAATGGATCACTTGCGGATATGTGTAGCCACAATTCCATACGGTTGAGCCCACAAGTTAATAATTTTTTTTAAAACGAACCCCCGTATCTCAATGATAAAAAGTGCCATTATTTTTGCTTACTGTATTAGCGAAAGCTTGCGCCCCATGATGCATCATAACGAACAGACAGTCTATATCGTTTTCAGGGACAGAGTGAGCCATGACGTTGGCGTCGCGGTAATAAGATGAGTTTTTTGCTATCCACTACACTCCCCGGAAGCTTTCAGTGTCGCGCAAGAAATACATTACGTTTATTTAAAACGGGCCCCAGGAGAATAAAAATACATTAACCCTGTCCCAGGGAAACAGACACGAAAATGAACGAAAACAAATATTTTACCCGGAATATTCGCTGGGAGAGTTGAACGTTTACGCTCTGGCGTCAGCAGAGCCGTGTCGTCCGTATCTGATCCTCCGAACTATTGTTTACGGGTGTTTTTGTTAGTTTTAAAGCTGGATGTGATGGCAGTTTTCATTGAAAGATACGCCACTGTAAACGAATAATTATTGCGAATCAAAATGTATGTACATGCTATTTCAGATCAAGTGTATACACGGTACTTCTTACATAACCTCAAATTTATAAATCTTAACCTAAAACGAACATACTCAATTTTTTCTAAACCTGTGAGTATAAATTCATAAAAATGGTACTTTTGATTGTGCAACCAATATTTTTGAATAATTTTAACTCAAATTCATAGGAAGCTGACCAGGAAACCTGAAAACGTAACCTCAAATCCAAAATAATTAAGTTAAAAATCCACAGAAACAATATATTTTCTTCAACAAAGGATATGATTGCTTCAAAAAGACATTCTGCAATATATGTTTTATGATTTATAATTTATAAATTTGAGGTTATGTTTTGGGTCTAGATTCATGATTTAGGAACATGTTTAATGTTTATGATTTTTTTTGTTTGGCAGCCTTTAGTACATAATTTTTCTTTTTTTTTTTCATTTTTAAATACCGAATATGTCAAATTTCGTATGATCGAGTTTGAGGCTAGAGACTACTCGGCCACTTTGAAAAAATTCTAGGCATATATTCCAGTTACCTCACGGGAACTTTATAGTACATTTTCGGAAAGAATAAAAATAAAATCAGTACTATTTGATTAGTTTTTGATTTACAACTCTTGACGTTTCGAGAGACATATCGCTCTCTTCTTCAGAAGTTACTCTGAAACTCAGAAGTTACTCAGTATCGCACTTCTATTTTGGGAAAATTCGGATAGTTATATAAAAAAAATTAAATCCTTTTGCTATGTAAAATTATTTCAAAATACCACCCAGTTTTGAGATATACCTAGGGAGTGCTGAAATTTGAAAAATCATTTTCTAAAATATGTCTCAAGATGATAGATAGTGATTCTATGAATTTTCCTTTAATTAGTTGTATCGTTATCCCAAATTTAATCAACTTAAGGCATATATTTTCGGAGATATTTGAAATAACGTGATAACATATGTTTAACTTTCGCACTGATTTTTTTTCAGACTGAAACTGTGACACCCTGTATACTGTCTACACAACTCTCAAATTTTGTATACTTACATAATCTGTTGGGCTAATTGTTGATTATAAACTTACCTGGAACAAAACAATGAACGGCATTAAAAATGTGCAAAACTATTTCAAATGTAGTAAAAATTGAGTTATATAGAAAATGTATCAATACTTTTTAAGACCGTATGCAGAGTATACTTGTAATTATATGATAAGGCACAAATACCAGATACCACAAAATGTTGGCTCAATATCAAACCCTACCTCCTTTCACAATACAAAACTATATACAGGTTCGGAAAGTCCCCATGGTACATCGACAGTTACGTGAAAGCGATAAAGTAAGTCATAGAAATCCGTGCGATAGACAAGGATGGTTACATTGAAGACGTTTCATAATCTGAATAGTCAGTCCCACTTCTAACCCGAAACGGGCGGTGACTATTCAGATTATGAAACGTCTTCACTATAGCCATCCTTGTCTATCGCACGGATTTCTTTACTTTACTTTGCCGCTCTCATGTAAATGCAGATGGACCATGTGGATTTTTCAGCCCTGTATAATTGCGTCGCTATAATATTCGAACATCGATGAATTGACGTATGCTATTTTATGGTTGAAATGTGCAGGGGAAGGCTGTAGAAAAGGTGTCTCATCTCTTGAGTCAATTTCATTAACATCGTTTTTATTTAAACATTCTGGCTCGAACATCAGTTGTTCCAAAATATTGGAAAAACTATTGATTTTACAGAAAAGTGTTTCAACAGACGAAATAAGCGCAATAAAAAGACATACAAAATGCCGCCAGATAGATTAAAATCGAATAAATTGTTTAAAAGCTATTGCAAAAACGACAAAAACATCTAAAGAAGTGGAAAAACAGCATTCTTTAGTTATCCATAACTTGGCTGTTATTTGTTGGAGTTTTATAAATATGCCTAAAAGTTATGAGTTTTATTGTTAATCAAAATTGTACGAAAGTTAGTCTAATAGTCTGTCTCTCCGAAAGTTATTAACAAAAGGGGGCTTTGAAAGTCGATTTTTAAAGCTTAAAACCTAACTTAGCTTTGTATTTAAATGGAATTTTGATTTATTGCCAGGGGTTTTTTGATTTTTACATTAAAAAATAGCCTTTTTTACCACTTTTTTTTATAAACATTTAGATTATCTCCAAAACCATTTATATATTTAATTATAAAAAGTGTGAATGTACAGCACTCATTAAAAACGCCCTTTTGGAACCGTTTGACTTTTTTTTTCAAAAAATCGCAGCGTTTCTGTAAAAATCAAAACGGGCCCTGGCAATAAATCAAAATTCCATTTAAATACAAAACTAAGTTAGGCCTTAAGCTTTAAAAATCGACTCTCTAAAACCTTTTTTGTTAATAACTTTCCGAAAGACAGAAGGTTAAAGTTATGCATTTTTTCCATTTTAATCATGATTATGAAGTGTTTTAGCTCAAAAACCGTGACCCTTTAATTTTTTTAAAAAGTTTGACTGTTTGAAACAAAGAAACGGTTCGCTAGATCGAGATGAAACTTCACAGGGTTCTTCTGAGTATGTCGAACTGTAAAAGTCATGCTTAACATTAGTCATTTCGCTAATATTTCTAATTTAGCCGTCAATTTTCTAAAAAAACATAAATTACCTTTTTTCCTGTTTTTTAAAATTCGTGTAAATGATGGAAAAAAAATTTTTTCCGAAAAGTTGCGACAGCTTGTTATAAGAAATTACGACCATTTGTCGCCGAGAAATCGATGATTGAAGACAAAAGGATCCTTTTCCATTAAAAGTCCGATATTTCGATGGAAAATAGTTGTATCGAAATTAAAAAAAAAAAAGGGAATTGAAGCTGAATAAATAAGCTATCTGGTTCATGCAATGGCTTAGCTGAAAAAAAATTCTCCATGGACTCGGAAAAAAAAAATTGCAAAATCTTTTTGTCGCGTTATTTCTCAGAATTGCAGGATAACCGTAGCTCCTAAAAAAATTCGACCGAAAGATCTAAAAACTAGAATCTTAGAGCTACAAATGCTTTTTTTTTAATTCCCGATACGACCATTTTTCACCTAAATACAGTCTGTCAAAAATCACGGAAAAATTTCGGAAATTTTTTAACCCTTTAATTTTTTGCATTAGTGTCACATCACATCAAAAAAATTAACTTTTTCTTAGAAAACTTACAGTTTTACTATAAATTAACGTTACTGAAATAATATTCCACATAGTGATTGTACAGTAAAGAATTAATCATCATATTTTGGTCTAAAGATTATATGCATTGCTAGAAGCATTGTATTGGACGTTCTTATGTATGTTATTTTAGATCCACTTTCTTTGCAATTGATCTGACTTATTTATCCAATAAACAATAAACAAAGAAAACAAAAGTACCCTGTATATCTGAGGAATGTGGTTAATTTCTGTCAAACTATGTTTCGGAAAATAATAAATAATTCATCTTCAACGCTGCGCTCTGGTTTCATAACAAGTTTCAATTTCTAACGATTTGCAATATAAGGCCATTAAAAATACAGAGTACATTTAGGTATTACAAAATTTGTCCTATTGCTCAATTTTTTTATTTGGTGTCCAATTTTAAATTGTGTTAGAAACAGAAACAAATATATGGAAAGAGTAAATGAAGAAATGTTATAATTTTCTCAATACCCTTTTATAGTAAAAAAACAAAATTACAATATTTTTTATGTACTGCTTAGTACATTATGTCAGCTCCAATATTGAAGCAATATTTTTCATATACTTATATGTTCATGTGCAGAAAAAAAAACTGGTATATACTGCAATAAATAAAATTTATTTATTATCCCTATTCTCCATTTTAATATTCAAATGTACACTGTACACATTAATTTACATCCTCAATTTTCCTGTTCACCACAATGGGGCTGACCTAACGACTGGAGCGGCCCAAGGGGTAGCGATGGGTGCGATTGGGGCAGCAGCGAGAGGAGCGGAGCGAAGTACAGAAGCATAAGGTGCAAGTGGGGCGGCTGCAAAAGGGGCGGAACGCAGTAAGGGGGCGGCTGCTAGAGGAGCGGAGTGAAGCCAGGGGGCGACTGGGGCAATTGGAGCGGCTGCGAGAGGAGCGGCGCGAAGTACGGGGGCGACTGGGGCAATTGGAGCGGCGCGAAGTACGGGGGCGACTGGGGCAATTGGAGCCGCTGCGAGAGGAGCGGCGCGAAGTACGGGGGCGACTGGGGCAATTGGGGCTGCTACTTTAGCTACTGCTGGTACAGCAACGGCGACGGGTTGTTTGGAAACGACAGCGTTGAATCCGTTGATTGGATCGGCGGTGTAGTCGACTTGTCTCCTTGTGCCGTCGGAATCCAAGAGGGCGTAGGAACCCTGGACTACGTCTCCGCTGCGGGTTTCTACCTGTCCGTGGCTGTCGCCGGTGAGGGGATCCTGGACTTCGTATCCGTAGGAGTATTGGGGGTTGGGGTCGTAGGGTTCGGCGACTACGGCTCTGGCTACGGGGGCGGAGACTATGCCGCTTCCGCGGGCGACAGCTACGAGAGCAGCGAATGCGATGAACTGGAAGATATTAATATTACTTCAAAAGTTTCATTTTATGATTAAAAAGTAGCAGTTTGTAGCATATTTTTAATTCCGAAAAATTAAATAGGCTTTGTCAAGGTAGCAAGAAATTATATTGAGAGTTGTTAATCACAATAAATAAAAAAAGTCCAGTTGCCTTCAAATTTAGAACAAAAGAATGCATTTTTACAGCAATTGTTAATTAAATTTGTTGATGTTTTATAAGAAGTAGGCACTTTACCCACATCGAAAGTAGCTTTTTTGTTCGTGTTAAGATCTGCTAAATATCTCACAAATAAAGATTCGTTACAGATTATTTTTTAAATAAGTAGATTTGTTCTACAAAATGTCTTTCTGTTCAAAATTTTCTGTTGGAAAAAAATTACTATTTATATGCTTTTTAATTAGCTTAGTGTATTATTGAGCTCTAAAGATAAAACTAAGCCCTGTATTTCTAATCATTTCTTGTACAAACAGACAATTTAAAACTACAAAATTTTGTACATTTACACAAGCAGGATTTTTTTAACAAGATTGACTTTTTTCATAAAATGAAAAATAAAAATGTTTCCTCTCTTTCAACTCCATCAATGGACACACTTTAAAAAAAAACCCTATACAAGATGTTGAAAATGATCGGAAATATGTGATAATATTTTATCATTTATCTAGAAAATGGTACATCCTAGTATCATGCAGGTGTTAGTGGTATAATAATAAGTCAAATTAAAAAAAAAGGTGGAAATGAATATTACCACATTACGCCCTATAACAAAAGAACACATACGTTTAAGGATGATCAAAAATTAAAACTGAATGCCAAATTTGAATGAAATCACTTCCCCGTTTTTGTAATTTAAAAAAGAAACGATGTTATCTAAAATGTAAACTGTTTTTTTTTTGTTAACTTGTGACGTAGACTCCACAATTAAAATTTGGCCAAGAATTTTAGTTAAACCCTGTATAATCAGAAGAATGAAAATATATGTAGTATTAAAAGTTACTTAAAATTTTAACAATTAAAATAAAACCCACAAGGTCCAAGTCTATCACAAAATACTAGTTTGTTTTAATGCGATATAAGAATAATTGAACTGGATCTCGCTTACCTTAGCAGCCATGTTTGCTTAAGGAACGGTTCTGGTAATTGTGCCGATACAAAAATTTTGCGAGCTTTTTATAGATGGGACAGGGACCCGCCCAACTAAGACGGAAATTCAGTCGAAACATTAGGGGAAGCCAGTTGAATACATTAAAATTGTCATTGATCGAAATTTAATCATATGACGAAAAATGTAGCAGTCTGATGCAAACCCGCTAGGCTCTACGCATTGCATTCCAAATTAAACAACCGCCCGGGTCACAATCGGGTTTTTGGGACATCGGACAACTCAATTTTGCAATTTTGCAATTGGATCACTTTTATGTGTTAAAAAAAATGTATTGGATATGTCGACGCGGTTACCGCTGATCTCTTCATTACGTATTCATATGCAGTAGAGTAGTAGAATCAAGTTGACCCTGAGATAGGTATATGCGGAAGAATTTTTTTGAGGTGTATTGTTTTGGTCCATATACGAATAACTGGTGTGGTAGTATTTGAATATTATCAAGGGCTCGGATTTACAATTAGCCTGTAATTATTAAAAATTGCATAATCTTTTTTTTATATACAGGGTGTGGTAGTACATCACAAAATCTAACTACTAGTTTTAATATAACATTTGAATGCTCAGTTTCGCAAAAAAGCGATTTCGAGTTATAAATGCATATTTTATAAACAAATAAATAGAAATATTTGATGAATATTACATATTATTAATTATTATGAATGAATATTTATAGTAATTGTACAGTTATTACATTTAGAAACATTTATAAAATCTGGATAATTATTCCCCTCACGTTTACTAATTGTCACATTTTTCTCAAAATGATTTGACTGCTACATTTCAGTCACCGGAGGCTCAATATTATCTGACTGATCCATTAAAACAGCATGATGCGACGTACATACTAATAGAACCTGGAGAGTTGAAGTGTCATTGTAAAGAATCCTGTTGGCTATTTCTGCAGTTGTGGTTGATTTCCACCCACCATGTTTCTTGATTGCTAATACATCAACTCCTGTATTAGCCAGTAACGTTGCCGATGTTCTTCGGAATGAATGGCCTGTATATGTTTTAGGATGTTCTAGTTTCAAAAACTGTGCAATCTTATTAGAAATCATATACGATTGGTTGGTTGTAACATCTACCTGCTTGATAGCGCATCAGTTTTAATTTCCAATCTAATCCTGATATATTTCCTGAGAATTTCTAGGTGAGAAACAGAACCTAGACGAGAAGTAATTGTAAACGTACGTGACATAATATTTTTAGAATCTGGAATCTACAATAATGTCATCGAAATTTTTGAAATTACCATTGTTTAAAGTAAGTTTGCATAACTCATCAGAACGGCATGCTCCTGCAATGCCCAAGACCGTCAGAACCTTCATTAGCAAATATGTGCTATCGGGTGCCTGAACGAGAAAATCGTTAACTTGTTCTCTTGTAAAAAAGTTTGACTTTTTAGGTGTATAGCAGTCATTCTTACGTTTCAAAAATGCTGTCAGCTTGGGGTATTTTGATATATCCACGTTCTCCTCTATGAAAATAACGAGCGTTCAAATAAAAACGTGGTCAAGTTGGTTCTGAAAATTTGGACGTAGGGCGTAGCGTATAGCAAATGAACTTAAACGTCATCTGTCAAAGCGCTATATCGCCGCTATCAGTTTGAATATTTTCGTTTTAAAAAGCGTTTAAAATGGTGTTTTCTCAAGAACAAAAAGTGTTTATCATAGAGTCCTACTTTAGAAATGGACGCAAGATTGATGGAATATGGAAGTATTCTATTGAGGAATGTTTCATAGAATTTCAAAATCAATTTCCCGGCGTTGTTGAGTACAAAATTTTTCAAAGTGCAGTTCAGCGTTGTGTTAATGTTTTTCGTGAAACGGGCAGTGTAACAAGAAAAGAAGGAAGCGGCCGACCTAAAAAGCGGACTGAAGAATTAAAAGAAAATGTCCAACAAATAATGGAAAATGCGCCAAGAACTTCTGTACGTGTTTTATCACAAATGGTGGGAGTATCAGTCGGTACCTGCCACACAGTGTTAAAAAAAGATTTGCGTTTGTTCTCCTATCGTTTAACTTGTCAGCAAGAACTTCATGAAGTTGATTTTCCGCGACGGGCTGTATTTTGTGAATGGTTTTTAAACAACTACGGTGAACTTCATAATATCACCTTTTTTTCTGATGAAGCCTGGTTTCATTTAAGTGGTTACGTAAACTCACAGAATATGAGAATGTGGTCTTCTGAAAAACCAGATAACTTTTTTGTCGAGGGCCCTCTACACGCTCAAAAAATTGGAGTTTGGTGTGCTCTCAATCGAAGGAGGATTTATGGACCTATTTTTTTTAATGGTACTCTTACTGCGCAAAGGTATAGAGAAGAAATTATCGCTCCTTTTGTTAACCAGCTGGAAGAAAACGAAATTACAAACTTTTACTTTCAACAAGATGGCGCAAGGGCACATACGGCAGGCGAGACGATGAATATGTTGAGGGAAGTTTTCCAAAATCGACTAATAAGTCTCAATGCTGAACATGAATTTCCACCGAGGTCATGTGATATTACGCCGTGTGATTTCTTTTTGTGGCCTTACCTTAAAAACACTATTTTTGAACTGCCTATTCCTGATTTAAACCATCTGCAGGCTCGACTTATAGACAAGATTCGTGAAATTAACAATACCCCGAGCATCTTAGAAAATGTCTTTAATTCTTTGAGGAACAGGTGTGAAAAGTGCTTGGAACAAGGAGGGGGACACTTTCAGCAGCTGCTTTAATTTATTGTTATAACAAGGAGGGGGACACTTTCCGCAGCTCCTTTAATTGTTTGTTATTGTTATCACGATTATTCTTTAAAATAAAGTTATATAGTCATTAACGTTATTGAAACTGACAGCTGCTATACAGCTCGTTGAGAAATGAGGTTAAGTTGGTCGCTATAAGCTACTCCCTACATCCAATGTGTCAAAGCCAACTTCGACCACGTTTTTATTTGAACGCTCGTTAGTTAACTTAATCATTGAGTATGCATTGCAACTTTTATGTAGCTTTGTTTATAAACACCTTAGAAACGACAAAATACAAACAACCAAGGCCATTTTGCAAGATCTCGAATAATGTCATAATGAATTGATTAAGAAATGTTAAAAAATAAAACCTAATCTTTATTTCATGAACCATAAAGAACTGTGGGAGCAGATAAAATGTTATACACCACGCAGCAGTTAAGTATAATTCACCAGTCTCGGACTCTATTGCCAGCCCTCGCTCCGCTCGGGCGCAAAATCGTCCTCGACTGGTAAATAATGCTTATATCCTTTATGGTGCAAATAACTATTTGATAACAATTTATTTGCGATTGAAATTTTATTTTATATAGAATCTTCTATATATGTCACTGCTACCGTACTAGAACGCCACCCCCATGTCGTTTAATGGTGGTAATATCGGCCCCTGCGTCGGCTAACAGAGTGGCGGAAGAACGTCTAAAGCATATATGTATAAGCTTCCAGATGAGGCAAATTGAGACAAGTTGTTATTCCTTTTGGCACATTTGTTATTTTATTGACGCCAACCACTTGGTTAACACATTTTTCTCTGACATACTTCACAAAAAATCTGCGTACAGGCTTTTGTGAAATAAATTGCCCTGGAAATTATATAGAAACTGTCATTTTTGTGTAACTGTAATTCGAATCTTAAATATCAAATTCCCTTAATCAAAATATATAATTTTTTAAATTTTTTTAAGACTTCCTGAAATGTGTATAGACGGTTTGCCCTTCAATTTTTCGTAGATGTAGGCATTATAAGATATCGTAATGAATAAACAACATTATAAATGCAGCACGTTTATGCAAATATAATTTTTATTGATAAATAGTATTTTAGATAGGCTATTTTAAAACGTAATTGGACAAACAGATAAAACCTCCAATATACATTAAACTAAATAATAATAATAAATCACATACCATAAAAATACCAATGCATTCTCTGATTTACATTAGTTCAGATAATGTCAAATTTAAATTCGATCACAACCCATTAGCTAGTTGAAATTTCCATAATAACACAGAATTACTTAAAATTGGAAGCGAGACCAGCCATTGGCCTTGCTACACATCTAGCCATTTTTGTAATGAAACAATTAAATCCAAACACTACTGGGTATATAATGAACGCAAATTTTGTGTTAGCAGTACTCATCCATCAGCTTGTTGAAACGACAACATGGCATACCAGGTAAGTGATAATAATAAAAAATTAATAATAGTTATTGAATAGTATCAGGCGAGACGTTAGCATTTTTTATTTCATATCATTTGAAAATAGTACTAGTAAATTCATTGTTTCACGAATTGTTTATATATCATCAAACAATACATATTTCTAAAGTGTCAATGTAGCGTGTTTTTTTGCTTCTTATACAAATAAATGTACGAAATAACCAGTTGGAATACATACATCTCCGTTAAAATTCCAAAAGCAACAGTCTTTTTCTTGAATCTAACTCAAAAGAATCAGGATATTTCAAATTTGTATTTTTTTTTTACTTCAAATTATCGCTACAATATAACATTTTGCCTTTTTGTTACACTAAATAAACATTCCAAGGCTAGGAAATAAAAATAACTTGGTTACACAATGTACTTGAAAAAATATTGCGGGTTTATCCTTACAAATCTCATTTTTTCTTAGTTTGTTCTCTTCGTTGCTTTGGTAGCAACCGCTCGGGCCAGCGTAGTAGGCGTAGCACCCACCCTCCTCCAATCAGCCCCCGTAGTAGCCGCCCCCCTAGTCAAAACCGTGGTCGCCGAACCTTACGACCCCAATCCCCAGTACTCCTACGGTTACGACGTCCAGGACCCCTTGACTGGAGACAGTCACGGACAAGTCGAAACTCGCGACGGCGACGTCGTCAGAGGTTCTTACAATCTCCTGGAGGCTGATGGTTCAAGGAGGGTAGTAGATTATACCGCTGATCCAATCAATGGGTTCAACGCTGTCGTCTCCAAGCGGCTACCAATCCCAGTAGTGACAAAGGTGGCTCCAGTTGCTCGTCTAGCTGCTCCAATTGTTCCAGTAGCGCCAATTCCTGCACCAGTTCTGCGCAGCGCCCCAGTTGCTGCTGCTCCATGGGAAGGTGTTCCAATTCTTCGTTCTGCGCTTCCTGTTGCTCCTTGGCAAGCAGCGCCAGTGGTGAAATCTGCTCCTTTGTGGTAAATTGGTAGGCAATTGAGAGTTTGTATATAGTCTTCTCTAAAGCAGTTGTAAATAAAAGTAACTTATTGCAAAGTATACTCTGGTAGTATTATTCCATGTTTTATCAAATATCGGGTTTGTAACATACATCAAGAAAGTACCTAAGTGCTTGTGATACATTTACAGGTTCATGAAATGAAAACGTTGGATGTGACTACAACCTCGATTTCTATAGATATACCAACAGTAAAATACAATTTATTTTTTTTATTATTTTTCACCAAGAGTACATTCATTTTATAGCTACAAAAATAAACGAAAATAATAGTAATATTATGGCAGTAGTTTTTACAATTGATGTATAGTTTATTCACTGTTTGTAGTACTTAGTATTCAGAGCCGCAGAAATGCAGTATCACAACTCATTCCTCAAAAATCTGCCACACGATGTGAAACAGTTTGGAAAATCTATGATTTTGACGAATCTAGAAATTTAAAAATTCTAAAAAGCAAGATTCATACAGAGGACATTTATCATCTTGTATGAATTATATATTACCACAGACAATATAGCTTATCGCTTCAGACCGCGCGTTAAATGCTGGAAATTGGCACCCTAAAAAGGATGTTGCAATTTTTGGCCAACTTTTTAATTTTTTTCGACATACGAACTTTGGACGTTTTCTTTTCAACGCAGAACGGACAATCGGAACCAAGGGTGTGGGGAGATTTTTTTAATTATTTTTTCGATTCAATGCACCGTTTCCGAGTTATAAGCCTTTTTTACTGTATCACCTCACACACCTCTAGTATCCGAAATTTATTTTCGACATACGAACTTCGGACCTTTTGCATTCAACGCACCGTTTCCGAGTAACCACTTTTTTATTCTATGATGTCACACACCGTTGGTCCCGAATTTTTTTTTCGACATGCGGACCTGGGACCTTTTTCACTCGATCACCAATCAGAACCACGAGAATTTTTGATATTTCGAGTTATTTCCGAGGTCTACCCAACGCCCCCTCCCTAGTAGTCCTGGAGATGCTGGGGAAGCCCCAGAGACTCTTGAACACAGCAGAGAGGGAGAGAGAGAGAAGCCCTCTATGATGACAAAATCACGCTAACTCTGGCTCTTTCGCACACAATCAGACAAAAATGACAGAAACGAACCTTCCTTTAAAAATACATTGGATTTATCATTATCAGAATAACCCATTTTAATTTTTTTAAATAAAAATGGGTTATGCTTTGGTGAAAAATAAAACATAATTAAACTGTATAATTCAAATAACAATAATGTGCAAAAGTTCTTCAGGAACATCGGCAAATCTATTGTGAAGGACGAATTCCGTCAACGAATACTAAAAAATATTATTAGAAACTTTAGATGGCCAGAAAACAGTCCGGATCTCAGTCCTTTAGACATATTTTTGTGGGGACACTTCAACAAAATATAAATTACTAAAAATTTTAAAATTTTACGAGTATTGAAAAAAAATACAGGACGAAATGTTTGAAAATTAATTCTGAATTTGTTTTTAAAGCAATAAATAGTAAATTAAAGCCATATTTTCAACTGTAGGTATCATCACAATTACTTGCATGTTTAAAATTTGTAAAAATTTGTAGGTATTTTAATGTTATTTCGTTTTTAGGCATTCTCCTTATGTTGTTGTAAAGGTTAGTTATAAAAATTGTTGTTTATTATTTAAATAAGGAAGTATTTTAGTTTTTTTTTAATAATTTTTTTACTTTAAACAAAAATTTTATGCTATCAAATTTTGATAATGCCAGAAAAAAAAGGAAAAGTCGTACATTTGTATTTAAAGTTTTTTCCTATCTTTAATTATTAAACCTATAAGTAATGTCAAAATACAAAAAAAAACTGTAGGTACCTACATTCCGCGACGTACTAATAACCCACCTTGTATATTAAATAAATTTATCATCATCATCAAATATTAAAAAAATTATTACAAGCTGTTTAAAATATCATTACGAATTTTGTTTATTTGGAAATATATTTTCTGCAATATTTCAATACCAAAAAAATTAAAAGAGTAGCTAATTAACGAAATTATAATTAAATAACCTAACTGCGACACCGCTGCAGAATATCATATAAAACTATATAGATATTCGTTGATTCTTTAAAACATTTTTATCAATACCTACATCATACATTTAAGTAATACAGTAACGCAAAAAGGCATTGATAAAAAAGTGTACAAAACAAATCCGTAAATACGCGTGACAACGTTGCCAAACTGTTGTTTATATGTTGCTAGGATACGCGTGGGAATTCGATCCGCTGCATTTGATTCGTCTTAAAATTCTGCTGTTGGTGTACTATATCGGTAATACGGAAACTTAAAACTGCTGTCCTATTCCAGTAGCGGTCTGGAGCGAAGCTATATTGTCTGTGATATTACATAATAGTCTATTTTTGACATTTAGGGAATTTCAACAATTTATGATAGCTTTTGAAAAAAATACATGTCACTTTAATAAGTTGTTTACATTTCGAAAACTGATCTGTTTTCATTTTAAGACTAAGGATGATGTGACATGTGTATTTTTTATTTGTTTGCTTTTTTCAATGTGTCATTTTCATTTAGACAAAACTAGTTTTGTGGCTACTGATCCTTTTGTCCTTAAGGTTTATTTTATGATTTTCTTCATACGTGGCAAAATATTCAAATAAATAAAGAAAAAACTAAAATTATGCCATAAATAAAAAACTTCTGGCAAGACCTATACTATTCTTGAAATTTTTAAAGGTAGCAGTTGCCACATGATTAAAAATTGAACTTAACGCACATACTGAGTGAAAATTTGAGCTTCCTTTGATGACCGTGTACGAAGTATTAATCGTAGCATACCGATATGCCAGATTCCCGCTCTCTGTCTCTAGCACACTTCATTCTCATAATAAGCTTGACATTAGGCGCGGCCCCAGCGAAACCCACGCCAAAAACCAGCGCATGTAATTTGCGGAGTCGGTACACCCCGATATAAATACAGGACAATGACGGCTTATCACCATACCGTACCCAGCGACATTGTCGTGATGACTTTCGAGGTAAATAACTGCGTCGTTCCTCTCCTTTACCCCGCGGCGGCTGGTGTATTATCCCGAAAATAATGGACGCGTGTCCTGGCACTTCATTTGTTACTTTTACGAGGTGGTTGAGAAAAGTCAACCCGTTTAGATACCAGGGGCGTAGCCCAAGGGCGTAAAACATTAAATAAACGAGAATAATTTCTGAAAAATGTATCAACAGAACGTAGGAATCGTGGATTTGTGTGGGCGAAGGAGTGATTGTAGTTACACATACCTACTGTCCTTTCCTTCGGTTTAGATAATATTTTAACAGCGAATATAAAAAAGTCACTGCTTTTTTTATCATACATACCACGGAAGTTACTGTACACAGTTTTGTATTTAAAGAAAATATTAAATGTACATAGAAAGACCAATAAAATTCGTTAGAACAATTAAAGTAAACTTGAATAATCAGAATAATTTCTGGAAAATATAAAAAATCAAGGTAATTAAGAAAGGGTGAAGGGGAGTACTATCATCTCTGTAAACACGAAAAAAAATGTAGTCACATAATAGACTGTTTTTTCGTTGTAGCAAATTTGGCAACAGCAAATTTTTAAAAAGTCGCGAATTTTTTAACGTAGGTTCTACAAAATTTATTGTAGTCAAGTAAATGAAATTTGTAATACATGTAAATTGAAAGGTAACGTTAAAATTGATCCACAATTACAGGTGATATCGCAAAATTTTCGGGCAGTTAAGATTTGAAGTCTCGATTTCCACTTTTGAACGTTTTTGTCTTATTTCCCCCACCATATTCCAGGTGTAAAAATGTATTCGAGGATGTTTTTTAAAGGGTTAAAAATTACTTTAAAATGCATTTTTTTCGATATCTTTAACCGTTATTATGAAATTTAAGGGTTGATTGATTTATTCTCGAAATTTCAAGTTTTAATGTTTATAAATAAACAAGTTATGAATTTAAAAAAGAAACGCTATCTCGGCTAAAAATGGTCCTAGAATATATTTTTTTAAATTCGTGAAAAAACGAAAAAGTTGTTAATGAAAAACCTTATAAACAAATTACACTATTTGTTTATACGCCGTTTTGAGGAGGTTAGCCTATGAAATTACAATTTCCAATTGCATGTCTTGAAAATATAAGTCAAGACGAAACAAAAGAGCCCTCATAAGGCCCTTTATTATAATGATAACAACCGCGTTTTTGCAATTGAAAAAAAAAATGCTATTTCTAATAAATGCAAAATCTCATAAACAAATAAATATTTTTTTACCAATATTTCAGGGTTTCTTACGGGTAACAAAATACAACTTTTACTGCAGTTTAGAAACGATTTATGCTCTTTTCTTCTGTTTACAGTCAATTCAAATTTCGCTGGTTTTTTGCAATTATTTAAACAAATTGTTAATGGATTTTAATTCAGCAGGTCTCAAATGAAGCGTTTTTTGAAAACCTATAAGTATAAACAAAAGGAAAAACTCCTGTTGGAGAGCGCTTTTTAATACAGCTAAAACCTCAATTTTTGGCAATTTTTACATTATAATCATTGTTTAAACAATGATCTTGTTGTTTTAAACCGATACTTTTTGGGAAATATTATTTCTTTTTGCCTAAACTAACGATTAAACCAAGTTTCAATCTGAAACGAATTTTTTTTACAATTTTTCTTCATTTACTGGGCTATTGTGAATAGTTTTTTTTTAAAGAAAAATGCTGAAATGGTAAAACAAATTAAAGCCCCTTCAGTGCAGAGCAGCAACAGAGGTGCAACCGAAGGGCATAAAATTTTAATAAATCGACAATTTTTCAAAAATGTCCAAAATTAACATAAAAATTACGAATTTGTGTGGGTGAAGGGATGGTGTATTATTTATGTAAGCACGAAAAAATGTAGTCATACTATTTTTTTCGTCTTTGAAACAACAAATTGCAACAGTGAATACAAAAAAATTACTACTTTTTTGTCGTAGACACTACGAAACTTCAATAGAAAATAGAAAACGTTAAAATTCATGTAAATTGCATTA